CCACCTCCCCCTCCCCTGTGCCCCGTGCTATGCAACACGTGTTCTAATTGGCTAACGCGCGGGGGCAACGGGCGCGGGCCTGGAGACTCAGCCAATCAGAGCGTGGTTTGCAAAAGAACAGCAAAGAGAGGGGCCTAGAGCTGCCGGGGAGGAAGCGTTGGTCTACGTCTAAGCCGCTGCCAGGGCGGAGGGCGGGAAAAGGCAAGAGGCGAAACACACGCTGATTGGGTAGCGCCTGCGCGCCAGCAGCCCTAAGGTTAAATGAGGAAAAGGGAGTAACGACCTGAACCAATCAGCGATGAGATCTCAGAATGCGCACCGCCACACATACACACCACAACCTCGCCTGCGCAGTCCTTTGATCAAACTAACTATCTCCGTAACATACATTATGATTGGTCTACATCTCCCGCCCCTTGAGCGGTGCGAGCGGGTAAAATCACTAGAACCAATCAAATGGAGGGTCAGCAGAAACCCCTCCTTCCTGTTGCCTTTAAGAAACCGGAAAGAGATACATTCACCAAGGACCCGCCCCTTGCCGTTAGGGCGGTTTCAAAACAATCTGTCCGCCAATCGCAGTTATTGTTTTATCTCACTAAAGCTGGTCGTTTTAGAAAAAGTTAACCAGATTAGCTATTCTTCAGTGGACTGCCTCACAAATTTCGTTGTACAAGATACACGGAATACAGATTAAGTAGATACGCTATTCATAATCTGGAAGAAACTCAGTTGCCTTTAAGAAAAGCAAAATTTTGACTTCAGAGAGTGCTGTAGGTTTGAAAAGACAAGCTAGACTAACAACGGGGGAAAAGTTACAACGGGGGAAAAGTTGTAATGGAAATTGCCCTCCTCCCTCCAGTGGTAGTACACAGGGCGCCTCCCCACGGTCACAGCTCAGCCGTCTCCCCAGATTTGGTACCTGTAGTGGGATGCGCGCTGTGCACGCGACCACACAGCCTTCCCCTCCAGAAAGATCTCCAGAGATTCGCCGATCGCTATCCTGAATCCTCTAATCGTCTGTCCCGTGAATCTGGCTGTTTGGCGTCTATCCTGACAAGCTCAAACACACGGACCCGTCAATAAGCCTCACGCCAATAAATAACGCTACAGTTTCACAGTATCTAACGCTGCACCACCTGTCGCCTCTAAAGACAAAACTTCAGTAAGATACACAATCAAGATACACAATGCAGAAGCCCGCTGCCCACAGGGTCCTATCTTAAGCCCACGAAAGCCACACACAATCTACTTAGACAAAGGCACACACCACACAGATAAACAAATACGCGTGAGTCAGATCAGATGCATCAGATCAGGATAATACACCAGACTGCAGGGTAGATGTGCCCCCTAAGGTCCGTCTAGGTAGGCGGCATCAAATAATAAAGATATACAGGACACTTAGGCTACAAGCTTACACTACGGAAACCTAGACACACAGCACCCACTCAGAAGCGGGACAGACACTCACGTGGGCCTGGAGGTTTCAATTCAGACACCCCGCCCCTCGCCCACGTCCGACTTCCTCTCTCCTCCCAGCTGCCCACAATGATTTGTTCTCAAAAAGTTTGTGGCCCGGATTGAACTGTCCCCGGTTCTCAGGAGCCACCACCGGGGGGCGTCCGGGCGCTGGCAAGGGTTCCTCCCTGTGCTGCGGGCCACACCCAGGAACGTGTGCCGGCGGGTGCGTGGGATTCACAGTGGGCTGGTCCCGGCTGCGTCTGTGATTGTCGCACGTGTTCTGTGCCAGTGTTTGTGAGTCTGAACGTTCGGGCTTGAGTATTTGTGTCATTTTACTCTGAATCTGCAAGTTTTTCTATTCGTGGTGGGTATGTGCCTGTGCATATTTGTAAATATTCTTGTATCTGTATAGTTTTCTTTTTTGTAGAGACAGAGTCTCACTTTATCGTCCTCGGTAGAGTGCTGTGGCGTCACAGCTCACAGCAACCTCCAACTCCTGGGCTTAGGTGATTCTCTTGCCTCAGCCTCCCGAGTACCTGGGACCACAGGCGCCCGCCACAACGCCTGGCTATTTTTTGTTGCAGTTTGGCCGGGCCGGAGTTGAACCCGCTACCCTCGGTATATGGGGCCAGCGCCCGTATCTGTGTAGTTTTGTGTCACTCTTACACTATGTGTCTGAATGTCGGTGTCTTTGTATTTGTGACCAGATATACCTGTATGTCCATTAATTCGTGGTGTCTGATGTGTGTGTAACCCTGTATTTATGTGCCTTTTCCTCAGGAGTTTCTGAGACTTTGCATTTCTTTGCTTGTGCTCTTTGTGGGTTTTTTTGCCTATGTGTATGTCCGTTTCTACCCTCCCTAATGAGGAGAGAATTCTGAGACCCTCACAAACCCCCCCTCCACACCCCTTTTTCTTTTTTCATAGATGGGAAAACAAAATTGCCAGGGATGGAAGCCACATCACAGCTGAATGGAGACAAGAGGAGACAGAATTGTGATTACAAAATTTTATGTGACCTGAGCCCCTCCAGAGGCGCCAGAGTCCACAGTCTGTACTTGAGGGGTGAGGGACTGGCTCAGGGGGCAGCATGGCCCAAATGGAGGGAGATTGTCCATCCCCTGGGGGGAAAGGAGGCATCCCTAATGCATTGCACAGGCTGGAGGGGGCACACCCCAACTTGAGGGGAGGAGGAAGCAAAGGAGGCTAAGAAGAAGAGGGGGACACTAAAGAATACTGCAGTACAAACTTAAAACTTGGGATTGTACCTAATATTCTATACCTGTGGACCTTTTTTAAAATCTTAGAAATTTGAAACATTTGAATCTTATATCTATAGTGCCTAGAACATAAAGATTTTAGAAATGTGAATTCATGGACCCTTATCTATGATCCTAGAAAGGCAGAGTGCAGCATAGAACCTAAAGATGTCCAACAATAGGAATGATTATAATTTTGGTGTCTAGTCACAACTGAGTGTGAGACTCTTATAATATAGATGCTTAGCATCCAGAATCTTAGACAAATAGAATCTAGAGTGTCTTGAGACATAAAACAGACCAACATTAGAATCTTAGAGTTTAATAATTTAGAATCATGGAGCATCTGATCTAGAATCTTAGCCACAGAGAAACTAGGTTCTTAGACTAAGTCTTAGAATATCAAAACTTGGAACATTAGACCTTAGAATCTCCATCTTTAGAGTCTTAGAACTTTTGAATTTCAGATTTTAAAACCTTAGACACTTGGGATCTAGGATCTCATACAAGAGAAGATATGATCATAAAGCCCAAGAAACGATAATTGACCATCACTAGAATCTTAGAACTTGAGAAGATAAAATTTTGAAGATTTATAATCTAGGGGCTTATAGCCAGAGGATCTAGACTCTAAAAGCCTCAGAACATCAAATTTTAGGACAGTATACTTTAAAACCTCCATGTCTAGAATTACAGAGTCTTTAGAATTGTAGGATCTAGAATCTTAACAATTGAAAAACTCAGAATTCTAGAAATATAATAAAATCTAGTCATACAGCCCTAGATCCAAGAACTATTAACAGAATCTTAGAGCTTTAGAACCTAAATCTTGGGGCTTTATCAAGAATCTTAGAACCAGAAAATCTAGAGCCATAGACTCTCAGAGCCTTAGAACTGTAGGCCTTAGACTTTCCATATCTAAAACGTTAGCAGGAATTTCAGGTCCTTAGAACCAAAGACTCATGGCATTTTTGAAACCTAGAATCTTTGAATCTAGACTCTTTAAGCCTTAGAATCTAGAAACTTGGAATATTATACCTGGTAGGACCCTTAGAAATTGTAATCCATCCCTTTCTTTTTATAGGTGATGATGCTTGGCATCACCAGAGAAGGGGGCGGATCTGTCTCGGATGGAGGTGGTATGAGGAGGAAGATGGGGTGCAGATGGGGATTAGGCCTAGGATGGGAAAGGGGAGTGGGGTTTTCCCCAGTGGCAGTGCCTAGCTTGGGTCCTGAGAGCGAGTCCCAGGTGGAGGGTTGTCTTAGGCGCCATCCTCCTGCCCTGGTGATGCTGGGGAGCCCCTGTCAGCAGGCAGAGGGGGACCAGGGGCTGTGGAAGGGCAGAGGACATAACGTCCAGCAGGATGGACTTCAGCTGCAGTGAGACAGCTACAGGAATCCTTAGGATCAGACTGGGTTGGGGGGTCAGCTCCTCCAGCAGCTCCAGGGGGTTCCAGATGACTGCTACCCTCATCCATGTTGACATAGAGGATTTCATCGGGCTCCTGGGCAGGGGGCAGGGCTTTCAGCGTGTACTCCAGGTCTTCCCGCAGTTCTGCAAAACTTGGCCGGTCTCGGGGGTTTAGCTCCCAGCACCGGGACATCAGGGCATACCTAGGGCAGAAAAGTGAGGAGTGGGAGACGCAGCAGAAGGTCAGAAAGAGAGTGTCTGGAAGCTTGGGATTATTTTAGGACACTCGGGGCTGGAGGGATCCTCAGCAATTTGGGGTCATCTGTGGGAATTTTGGAATTCTCAGGAATTTCTGAGGAGGGTCCTGAGAGACTCAAGAACAGGGAAGAGTCTTAGAAAACCTCTCTGGGCTCGGCGCCTATAGCTCAACCGGCTAAGGCGCCAGCCACGTACACCTAAGGTGGCGGGTTCGAATCCCCAG